TGGCGTTCCTCCCCGAGGCTGCCCTTATCGATCATTTTTTGGCCAGCCTTCCGCTCGAGTACCGCTCCGAGCTATGGCGGTACGAGTTCACATCGGCCCCACAGGCTTACGAGGCCGCCAGGGATCACCAGCGGATGCGAGCTCGTCTTCACCCCGCCTCCTCCTCTCACGGCACTTCCCAGCGCCGTTCCCCTTTCCGCGGTCGCCCCCGTCGTTCCACGCAGCAGGGCCGCCACTTCTCGCGCCGCTTCAGCACGCTGGAGTATGGTGAGCAGGACGTTGTTGCCCCACTGTCATCTGAGGGCGACCACAATGACGACCTCGATCTCTGCGAGGCCGTCCACTATCACTTGGAGGACTCTACCCTCCCTGCAGTTGAGCGCCTTCAACTCGCGCTCTCTTCCCTCTCTCGGGCACGCAGCCGCCCCGGTCACACTGGCGCATCGCCCCCCGAGGTCCCTCAGGAGGACCTCCCTCAGGGCTTCGTCCCTCCTCGTGGTGTCCTTTCCCCTGAGGAGCGCGCGACTATTCTGGGCCGGCGTGGGTGTTTGCACTGCCGCTTAGACGGTCATACCTCCTCGCGGTGCCCTTACACTACCGCCCTCGACCGCCACTACGCTGACCTTTCTCGTCAGCGCCGTGCTCAGTCCCCCCCCCGGCGCCTCACGTCCCCGCGACGCCTCCTAGCCACGGTGCAGTGTACACCTGCGCCCTCCTCAGTAGTGGGCTTCCCGACATCTCCGTCTCGGTTCGACCCTCTCGCTACTGGAGTTGAGGTATCGCAGGACTCGACAGAGTGTACTCCGCCCTCTGTCGCAATACCGTCTGCGCCTCCGCAGATCACCGTCTCCCCTCCTTCCCCGCCGCGACTACCGACGCGTCGAGCCATTCGCTCAGCCCGTTGCAGCGAGCAGCTTGCTACTCGCGAGGACGTTGTGTCCTCTCTTCTGGACTTGAGCATGCTTCAGGCCCGTCAGGAGCGACTCACCCTCCATGTCGCTGCACTGCGTCGCCTTCTCGCCATCCTCTCTGACCCTGATCGCACCCTCCCGATCATCCCCGTACGACTCGGGACCTCCACGAGGGTGTACTCGGCGCTGTGGGATTCCGGTTCTCAAGGCGACTTCATTCACCCACGCGTGGTGAAGGACGCCCGCTTACCCACGACAGGGTCTCCGACTCCCATCTCCGTTACCTTAGGGGATGACAAGACCCAGCGCTTCTTCGATCAGACGGTCACCGACCTCCCCTTCTTCCTCACTCTCAAGCCGACTGAGCATTCCCCGGCGTCTCGTCGCCACCGCTCCTCTACACATTTCGATGTGATGGAGACGGGGTACGACTTCATTCTCGGCACTCCGTGGTCTCGTCAGTTCCGCAGCACCGAGGCCGATTGGGCGACCAACACTCTAGTTCTCAAAACGAAGTGTGGACAGATGTATCGCGTACCTTTCATAGGTACCACGACGACACCACGCCCCGATCCTCCTCTCCCGGAACCTTCAGTGCCCACACCATCTCCCTCTATCACTGTCACCTCGCCTCGGCAGTTCGCTCACTTCATTCGACAGGACGACGTCACCTTCTTTATGGTGGACGTGACGGATCTCTTACACTATGATCCACCCTGTCCCGAYGCCGAGCTCATCCCTCTGGACCCAGATCCCCCCTCTATCTCCATGGCTTCCATCTCTACTTCTGACCCTCCGCCGTCCGTCGAGTCCACCCCGCCGTCGCGCGCTGACGTTGACGCTGAGGAACTCGCACGATATACGGCTGACTTGGAGCCCAAAGTTCGTGACCTCATCCGCGAGTACCATGACGTTTTCCCATCGTCGTTCTCGTACGCCGGCATCCCACCAATGCKYGACGTSGARCACTCCATTCAGCTCGTGCCTGACTATCGTGTTCACCACCAGGCACCCTACAGACTCTCGATCCCCGAGGCCACCGAACTCAAGCGTCAGCTTGAGGAGCTCCTGAGACTGGGTTTCATTAAACCCAGCAACTCCCCGTGGGGTGCACCYGTCCTCTTTGCTCGCAAAGCGGATGGAACTATTCGTCTCTGCATCGACTACCGCGGCCTCAACCGCTAGACGGTTAAGAACAGCTACCCCATGCCTCGTTCCGATGAGCTGTTCGACGGCCTAGCAGGCAACCGCTTCTTTATGAAGATTGATCTTCGTAGCGGTTACCATCAGATCCGCGTCGCTGCAGCCGACCAGCCGAAGACCACGTTCCGATCGCGATTCGGCCACTACGAGTTCACGGTGATGCCATTCGGCCTCACCAACGCACCCGCTACCTTCCAGAGGGCGATGAACGACATCTTCAGGGACATCCTGGAGCAGTACGTTCTCGTCTACCTCGACGATATCCTGGTCTATAGTCGTACCCTTGAGGAGCACCTCAGACACCTCCGCGACGTCCTTGATCGCTTGCGTAGACATGGCTTCTACGCCAAGCTAAGCAARTGCCGCTTTGCCCAGCACAAAGTGAATTTCTTAGGACACTACGTGTTTGACCAGGGTCTCCACATGGACGACGCGAAGATCACTGCTATTGCGGAGTGGCCCGCTCCCACATCCGCCAAGCAGCTTCGCAGCTTCCTGGGCCTGACCAGCTACTATAGTAACTTCATCCGGGGATACGCTAGGTATTCCTACGTCCTTACCTCCACCCTCCTCCGGAAGAACCCACCCTGGGCTTGGACACCCCTCCACGAGGACGCCTTCCGCGCCCTCAACAAGGCAATGACATGCGCACCGGTTCTTCACCTACCCGATTTTGACCGCCCTTTTATCCTTACCACCGATGCGTCAGACTTCGCTGTAGGAGCAGTGCTTTCTCAGGTCTTCCCCTCATCTCCTGATTCCTCTCATCCTCGTATCCCTCGCTTCCCACCACCTACCCCTACCACTGCTTCCCGACTGACGCCTACACTACTGACGAGCCTTCTATTGACTATTCTCCTACCATCGCCGGGGACGGCACTGTCGAGTCTCGCTCAGGTGATTGTCCGATAGCCTTCTACTCCCGTCAGCTCCTGCCCGCCGAGATAAACTACACTGCTGATGAACGTGAGGTTCTCGCAGTAGTTTATGCCGCTCGGCACTGGCGTCATTACCTGCACGGGGCACTATTCACGGTGCGCACGGACAACTCTGTTGTCCAGGCTTTTCTGACAAAGCCGAAGCTCACTCCTCGACAGGCTCGCTGGTGGCGCGACCTATCCGAGTTTAGTTTCACCACTGAGCACATCAAGGGTGAGACTAATGACAAACATACAGATTTCAACGAGGTACCTTTAATCGAACAAAAACAAAGGGGGGTTTTCGGGGGCCGATCAAGACATATCTAAATGCAGAGAAAATACAGGAAGGGAAGAGGTCCGAAAGATGGCGCAGGTTCGGGAGCTGGTTCGTCACACGTCTGCATCCTCAGCAGGGTATCTGGATGTACACGTAAGAGGTGAACTGCGAAGAAGGACGTCGGCATGGACGGGCGACAGGCGAAGAACAGGTCTTCAGTGGAGCACTCCCGAAGCCACCGCGCAGGCCACTTACCGACTTGCAATGCAAAGGCGTACGGCTCGATAGAGTGCGTGTGTCGTATGTTGTCCTCTACCTTCTCCGTTCATCGATGCCAATCGGTGGACCTTCACCGTCGTCGTAGAATTACAGCCCTGCCGTATATGTTGTTGATGGCCAACTGTATTCAAGTTTGCCACTGCTGCTCCTAGTCACAATTTTGTTTGTCGTGCTTCCTCTATCATTGATGGCCGACCCCTATCAATGGCCTCCAACAGAGAAGACGAGGGATCGACACCGAGTGCAGTCGGCATCGACATCGGCAGCGCATCCCGCATGCGTTCGTCCACATTGGAAGTAATCGCCATCGCCCGAAAGACATGTGGTGACATACGCAGCTTCTCCCAGAAGTACTCGTCTGTCGCATCATCACATTGTCTGAGATCCTCCCACGGCCCCCCCGTCCTCCTTTTCATCCACCACCTCGGCGTCGCTCGTGGAAGAACACTGCAACCCATGGCGCAACAAACCTGAACTGCAGCCTCGGTGATGGCCACGATATCCAGCCCTTCGACTCAGACTTGATGAAGCGTCTTCCTCCTCCGCGCGCAGATCTGCGCTCTTGTTCTGCCCAATGCCCTCTCCAGCTGACAACGAAAGAGCACAGCCGTCACAACCTCCGCCACGACCATTTTCTCAATCGTCGCCAACTTCGCACGTCCGTCGTCGTTGCCACCCTCCATCGGCACGTGTGTTGCAATGCTCATGAACCATAAAAATACAACAGTCTACCAACTCGCCACGATCACTATAACCTCAGCGCCAAGTCCCCGACGACGTTCCCTGCGAATCCCCGGGTATGCTCGACTCAACACATAGTGACATAGGCGCGGAGGCATGCCGAGGCGATGGCGATGGACCTTCACGGGGCGCTCACAAATTCGTGACGACGTACAAGGACTCCACAGTGCCGCTGCAAATGTCCGTTTCCACCATCTCCGATATGGATGCCACCTGCCCCGTGTCGCCATCATGGCGTCCAACACGCAGTTCAAAATTTGCTTCTCGAATGGGGAGGTCCATTGCTTTTTAAGGGGGGGGGGGGTTCCGGTCGCCAACCACTTTCAAAATTTCCGGTCGTCGGCAGCTGGACCACACCGTAGCAAGACGGACATCACCCAATGGACCAATGCATTGCCCCCCTGTGACGAACCACTTTCTGTAGCGTGCGACTTTCTGCGCGGTTGCAATGAGGGGTCCTAAGCTAGGAAGGTTGGGCCTATTACGGGAGATTGGGATGGACGGGAAATTGCATCAGTACCCTCGCTTCTTCGTCTTTTGCGTCGATTCTTTTTGGATGGCTGAGTTCGGAGCTGGGTGTGTCTCGGGACGGGTGATTGATTGGTCGGATGGCTGGCGCGCCGCCAAGCACGCGATTAATAAAAGTTGACGTCACTTCTTTTTGGTTCGGTTTCGGAACTTTTTGGGCGCGGACATCGCGCAGGAATTTGCTTCATTCTTTTTGAATTTTCTTTTTGAATTCTTTTTCGAATTTTGTCGAGCCCCGATGGCTCTCGGAATTTCGGACTTTCCCTCCGAAACCTGTACTTTTGCTTTCTCGCATTAGTTAGGAATTTAGGAATTTTGTAATTAGGACTTTCTTTTGCCGCGCGGCGTCTTTTTGCTTATGCGCTTCTTTATGCGGCTGCAACGGAATTCTGATTAGTCGGTGCCTTTAATCAGGTGTGCAACTGTAATTTTGGGCTGGCGCCATTGTAACTGTATCTTTCTTCTTGCGCTTCGTCTTTCCCGCCCTCCTTCTCTTTCTTTTGCTGCGATTTTGTAGCCACGATCTGCATGCTCGGATCGATGCGTGGAGAGGGGCTACGTCCCCCACGCCGCGGCCCGGTCATGCAGAACGCAAACGCTCCCTTTCTAATCCTCTTTCCCAAATCCTTGTAATTCCGTGTTCTACGCGCAAGCATGTACGCTATAAATTCCGGCTGCGCAATTAGTTAGCTCTCTTAACCTGCAGTTGGAAGCTTGGGGTTGCGTGATCATAGAGGGTCGGCACACGAGCGAAGTAAGAGGTGAGTAGAGCAGGAGTCGGGCGACCCGACGAGCTGGTGCCAAACGCGCGGGGTTGACGCGGGCCACAACGGACTGTGGGCGCGGGCGAACCTGACGGGTGCGGGAGGACTCAGCGGGGTGACGGCTTCGTGGGTTGGTGCGTGACGACGGACTGTCCGCATCGGAGAGAGAGAGAGAGAGAGGAAGAGGGAGTTGAGGTTGATGGACGCGGTTTTGCTGTTTCTTTTATCTTTTCTCCCTCCTGTCTCGTGTACATAAATTTTGATTTCGGCTCCGGGTGATTTGCCCGTTCTCTGTTTTCGGAATCTGGACTTGGGTTTTTGGTCACACTCATCTTCGCGATTTCCATCTCAGATGCACTGTGGGTGTATGTTGCTGAATGAATGGATGCGTGGATGCCATGTTTGGTTGCTTGTCTTTTTACCGGATCCTTGCCTTTGCCTTTGTTTGTTGCCCTTGATGCACTCATGAGTAGGACTTTTGTACAGTCGGTAATCCTGTTCTCGTTTTTGCTCATCTTTTACGGTCGTGTCTGTTGCATATTGCATACTCGAAAATTATGGAGTGATTGGACAATCGGATGGCTGGCCCAGCGAACGCCGCGCGAGGACGCGTGTAAACGCGACTTGATCTGCGCATTTACACGTGCCCCTGTGTGTCGATTCGTCAATACAGGTGACAAAAATACTGTCTGATTGGATACGGCCATCCCGGGCCTGCGGCGGAGCAATCATCCCGAGCAAACACGTGTAAGCGCGACTTGATTCGCACCAGCCTGCACGTGCTCACACGCGGTGATCGCATTCGGCACAGACCCGCCCTTAGGCGTCTCGTAGTTCTGCGATGACATGATGTCACACTTAGAGAGCTCCGAGTCATTATTGTACGACCCGGAATACTTCACCCCTTGGATAAACGAAATCCTCCGACAGAGATACCCTTGCCTAACCGAGAACCGGTTGTGCCCTCGGGAGTTTCACTGGGCCAGCACTAGCGACCCCCGGTGCTCTGATTTCCCCACTCCGGACCATACCTACTACTTCACCCACCCTGGATTTGTCGTTATCTCCACCAGTTTCCCTCCCTTCCGCCTTCTTCTTCCGTATCACCAACTCAGCGTCGTCCCGTGGCCGACCATAGCTCCATACTGGCCCAATACGCCCTGCGGAAACTGTCGACGACGCGGCAATCAGAGGACCCCGGAATCCTGGAGGCCCAACCCAAACGCGCGACGACCAGCGCCACGTGGCAACTCCCGACGGCCTGACTCATCGGAACCCCACCTACCCCGAAGGGACCCTCCCGCAAACCGCCATCCTCGGAACCAATGGCTCGCCCAACCTAGAGTGACCAGCGCATACTATCTGCCTTATGACCAGAGGTGGTCCGCCCTCTCCGCCAAATTGCACTCGTGCCCCCAAAAGACTCTGCCACAGGAGATCTCAGTTCTGACCTGGGACTCCACCCCCACTTTCCCAAAAATCCTTGGCACACCCCCTTTTCGCACTTCCAGGCCCACATCCTCCTCCGATCAGGAAGTCGCGCTGGGCGTGAGGTGGGCGTCACCCCCCCCCCCCCGGCTGACTATAAAATTTCAAAAATTGTCGTCGGCGACAGAAAGGAATCATCTTTGGGAGACCATCCCAAGGATCGGTGGAACGATGATGGGAATTTCAGTCAAACCCCCCAAGGAAACTTCCTTGGGCCCAGAGCACGCCCGAAGGAGTGTCTAGCAAGCCCCAAATTATGGTGGTGTATCTTTCCATGTTCTAGCCAAATATTCACACTCTCGTTTACACGCGTCTAGCACAGTGGAGCCAGGCCCTAATGTGCATATAGAAAGGCCTCGGTGTTTCGAAAATCTGTGTGGCGAGGGGGGGGTTCCTTTCGATGAGCATGAGCAGCCTTTCGAAAAACGCCTGACACCTTTCGGAAAGGCCTTCATTCGAAAGGCTATGCGGCGAGCCCCTAAACCACTGGTACACGACCAAAGCCTTGTAGTCTGAAACTTGTCCCGAAAGAAAACGACTTTAAACGAGTGTTGCTAAATTGGATTGGAGGTTCCAGATTCGAGGTGTCAGGCCAGCGGCACAGGGGCCCATGTACCTGCTAGTACATGGCCCCAGCCTTGAGTCCAAAACTTGTCGCCAAAAGAAAAGGAGGCCGAAATATCAAACGCTGGGCCTGTTGTTGATACGCCGGGCCTTCCGTTGATAAATTGGATCGACAATCATGTTTTTGTTTCGCTTTTCCAGAATTCAAGGTGTCAGGTCCATGTACTTGCTAGTACACAGCCTCAGCCTTGCAGTCTGAAACTTTCTGCGGTAAGAAAACGATGTCGAAACGTCAAACGCTGGGCCTGCCGTTGAGAAATTGGATCGGCAGTCGCATTTTCGTTTCGCGCTTCCAAAATTCGACGTGTCAGGCGGGCAGCCCAGGTGCCCATCACCAGTACA